GAGCAAGATACTGAAACCCTGAATTGCTGCCCGATGCTGTGCATAGCTGTGTGAATGTGTGTGAAAAGGGTGGAATGTGGTACATAGTGTAAAAAGCGCTTTGAGTGGTCGGAAGACTAGAAAGGCGCTATACAAGTACAGGTCCATTTACCATTTACCATTTGCCTCATGTCTGATGTCTATTTTAGAATATTTGAATTTCTTATAAATTCTTATATAGTTTCTTGAGAGCAGTTCTTTCAAGGAGGTTTCTCTTCTAGCAAATCAAATAATAAACTCAACACAGCTAAGTTTCATAACTTTGTCTCTTTTTGAGACTCTTCTCTTTTCCCGAGAAGAACGAGATGTCAGTTTTCAGCCCAAAACAACATGTGCTTGAAGCCCTCTATCATCCGTAGTCTAAGGGGAGCAAAGGAGGAAGTGCTCCTGTTGTAGAGTGGTAAAATATGTTATGTTGTTACAGCTTTGTAGAGCAAGTGTTTCAGACGATGTTATTTGGAGGACTTGTTGCGCTTTTTTTCCTGTAATTACAACCAAAATAACTTGTTGTTCCAGCAAACTGTCAAGAAATTATTAGGACATAAAATGCCTCTAAAATGAACTGCTACCAAAACATTTATATAAACTCAATTTAATGTTTTCTGTGATTACATGCTAACACATTAGCTCAGCATCCATCAGTTAGAAGTTTCATTTGATGGAATGATCACAGTACAGTTTGATGTTGACAGTGAAGAAGTTTAACTACAGCAGTTTTGAAAGGTCGGGTACCACCTCAGTGAAATCCCAACTGAACTGTCGACCTTCTGGTCATAAGATCACATTTCTATTATTGTCTAGTCTTGAATCCAGCCTGATGGAGAGTCATATTTTAAGCAGCTAAATATATAATGCCCACCTGTGTGGAAGTCTTTCCTTTCTCATCTTTAATCAAACATTAATAAAACATGAGCAGGTGATTTTTGTTCTGACGTCGGACTCTCTGCGTCTACCTCTCTGTCTGATTTTCTCTCTTGGTTTCTCCTTCTCTGTCTATGTTCTGTTTTATTGATGAAGGCAGTAGGGACTTTAGGGGATGCCAGTTATTTCAGCTCTACTTCCTTTGCACGCACACACTCACACACACACACTCACACACACAAACACACACACATATTGCTGGCCTACTTTCCCGGGTCTTTTCCCCTCTGGATGGGTTTGAAACTCTGTGAAACACAAATGCACACAAACAGACCGACATGTACGCAGACACATGTGTACAGTCGCACACACGCACACATACACACACAGAGGCATGTACACACAGACAAGGTCATAAATTAATAGTGTAAGCAAGCGGTCCTCAGCTAAAAAAAATATGTTTTATAATAAAGTAAATATGTAAAATGTAAAATGTGTAATTGGGAAGGGTTTAAATATTTTTAAAAGGAGTACAGTCTAGATCTACTCTATTTTAAAAGTGTCCTGAGATAACTTGAATTGAATTGGCGCTGTACAAATAAAATTCAACTAAATTGAATTGTAATAGCTCAAGATATGCAAAATGTCTGTTTTTTGCCCCCTCCAGCAGACAGGACTGTCTCACCGCCGTTGTGTTTTTGTTTAAATGTGTGTAATATGAAATTTCTCCATCTGCCTGCAGAGCGTTGTTTGACTACGACGGAAGTGCGTCAGATCTGACCACGCCCAATCAGGCCCTGCCATTTCATTTCGGGGATATCCTCCACGTGAGCAGCGCTGGCGAAGAGGAGTGGTGGCCCGCCCGTCACCTCAGCCCCCCGCCTCCAAACTGCCCCGAAGTCGGAGTCATCCCCAGCCGCAGGAGGTCAGAGTTCAAAGGGGTTTTAGGGTGTAACAGTTTAGGCCTGTAGCAGAGTATTTTTACAGTGTGGTATTAGTACTTGAGTAAAGGCTCTGAATACTTCCTCCACCACCGTTGATAATACTGCAAACATCATCATTATGTAGAATCTGCAGAATATAGGACCCCCACCTCGCTCTCCTTCCTTGTTTCCCAGTGGAGGAGGTGACAGACAGATGTTGATAGGTTTTTGAGGTGGGAGGGAGGAGACCATTTGAAAGAAGTCTTGTTACCGTCCGTGACACTGAGAGGTGATGAAAATGGAGGGAGGGAGGGATGTGGAAAGTGATGGAGTGGAAGGAAAGAGTGAGGGAGTGTTAAAATGTGAATAGAGGGATCGGAGGCAACAAGATGAGTGGGAGTGAGCGATGGCGGATGGCATTGGAACATGGGAGGGATGGATGTAGAGATTGTCACACAGGGGTTTAGACGGTGGGGTATTAATAGACTGAGGTGTTAGAATAGAGGCTCGGTGAGAGAACTTGGGGTGTTACAGGCTGACGCATTTGGGGTAATAGAATAACTGTGTTAGGGTAAAAGACTAATCAAACTTGAATTATCACAAGCCGAGGCTCTCCTCCAGTCTTTTTTTCTGCTCCACCTGCTTCTCCTCCTCGCCTCTTCCTCCTCTTCTGCTTCTGTCCTGCTCTCCTTTTCCTTCTACTCCTCCTCTGTCTGCTCTCCTCTCCTCCTTCTCTCTTCCCTCTTCTTTTCCTCTTCACCTCACCTGGTCCTCATCCTCTCTTCTCCCCTCTCCTCTCGTCCCCTTCCCTCCTCCTTTCGCACACCTCTCTACCTTTCTCCTCCTGCGCCTTTCTCCTCCCCCTCTCCTCTTCCTCTTCAGTAAAATACCCACTGCTTTTGCTTTGAAATTCTATTCATGTTATTTGGCAGAAAGGTGGAAAGAGGTGACTATAGAAACTCAGGAGTGAAAGGAAAGGAGAAACAATGTATTTGCCAATGCAGTGTTGTAAACATGAAGGTATTGTTGTGTTTTAAAGCCTTCCATCAGGGATTAAAACCAAACAGTCGCCTGCAGTCGAACATCGTTACGTTAGTTATTGCTGTAATTTCTGCTGTGGACCTCCAGGCTGCTGGTCTGTTTGCAGTGACTGTTGTTTGGCCGTTTACAGACATTTGGAGGCTAAGAGCTGCATAATGCATAATGACTTTGTCTAAAAGCGCATCTGGCTTGTCAGCCTAAATTATAAAATGTTGCTCCAGCAGAGAAACAGGTCCCTGAACTGTGACACTGGAGATTCACCTTATTTGAAATTCTGGTTTTGAATATAATCACCAGCAGGAAATGGCCCTGCACAGGAAGTGACAAATCTAAATTTAAACTTAGCAGACAAAACTGTCTCCTTAGCAGGAGCAAGCAGAGAGAATGTCTTTTCTACCATATGGCAGAAGTATTTTGGTCCTGTCTCACTCTCTCAACCCTTTGCATCTGTTATAAGGTAAGAACAACCCATTCAGATTAGTGGATACTTACAAGCTATCTGCTCTTTGCTGTTGAGTTACATCATACCTGGATATTAGAGACCTCATAGTGCTCCTTATAGGCAAGATAGATCCAAATATAGTAAGCTGCAAAATTACCTTTTAAATATGAAAAGATCTGACATGCTGAATGTGAGATTAAAATAGTTCTGCAGTTTAAAGTTAGCCAAATGTTTTAAGATCATTATTCTGTGATAACAAGCTTGATTTTCCAGCTATTAGAAGAGATCCGAAGGAAAATCTCTTTGCAAATAGGGTTCACATTCGCTTGGTTACACCCCCATTGTTTACTGTTGTGTTTCACAGGCCTAGAGCACAGCAATCTGACTGATGAAACTAACAATGAATGCAATGAAGCAATGAATAATGTCTGATGTGCCTGACAAACCGACACATAAACACAGATTCAAACAGAGGGGATAGGGAGTAAATTCAGCCAGCTACATTTCTTGCTACTTAATTGTTTGTGTTGTTTTTGTCCTCTCTCTGTCTTTCTCTTCATGTATTTCCTGTCCTTACATCTCACAGGGCAGAGAAGAAGGAGAGGTCGCGGTTAAAGACAGTCAGAGTGACGAGGTCTCAGGACAGATCGGTGAGTAGCAACCTGGTTTATATACATTATATACAACACTAAAGGTTGTTGGTGACAGATTAAACAGATTACATCTTATTTGAGAGTGTGCTCATATTCCCTCATTCACACATTTTCAAAAAACAGGTGTTTATAGGTAAATATTGGCAAATTAATGTTAAATAATTAAATTGGTGAACCGTGTTAAAATAGCCACGGGTTGAGTACTGTTCTCTTGCAGTAAAACATTATGCATTGTTTCAAAACACACCCTCAAGACACTTCTAACAACATAAAACATACGCCATATGCAACTCATAATAATAGATCCCCAGTTCACAGGTGAAAACTGGAATGAGAATGTGATGAGCTGCTGTTAAACCAGGCGCAGAAGGAGGTTTGACTTTGTGTCGTGCTGAAGAAAGTGTTTTTTCACCTGTCAAGTAATGATATATAACCGTGATGTTAACAAAGTAGCAGAAACAATACTTCCACACATATATATTAATAGGGGTCATTTCTCATCTAAACTGTTTTAATATGAGAGCACGACAATTAAATATGTGGGAAATTAATTCAACAGAGTCAGGCGACAAAGTGTACTTGATTTGTTTGGTAAAGGCAAGGCAACATTGCTTGTAAAGCACATTTCATACGCAGATTAGTGTTTTATGTAAGCCACTAACAGAATAAGATAGCATAGTGTAAAGTAAAGAACATAAAATGATAGTGCAGATCTAAAAGCAGCTCTTAAAGTAAATGAAGACCAATAGCAGACATGTGTTTTTATCACTTATCTTAAAGTTTTAAATGTTGAGTCTCTTGGAAGTTTGTTTCAGATACACCCCGTTCAGCGCAGTAGCTAAATCACCTTTATCATGTTGCCGGAACAATAAGCTGAGTCGGTAGAACTGAGAGTTTGATAATGTCTATTGTAGGATCAAATGCTGTAGCTGTACAGAGGGGTATTACAGACAGGTATAGTGGGGTTTATTATGCCAGTGACCTTAACTTCAGCAGCCTGAATGAGCTAATATAGAGAGACCTAGAGATAAAGGAAAATAACTGTTAGTGTTGTACTGATGCTGGTTATTGCTCTCTCTTATTACATTAGTCAGCCATTAGGATCTTTGTTGACTATGAAATAATCTGATTACTCCAAGCCTCTAGAAAATGTCACATCACTAATATTAAAAATATTCAGAAATATGCTTTGGTCTTAAATTAGCACTAGATTTAGTGCTAGATAAAATATCATTCTGTTTGTCAGCTTGCATCTACAGAGCAACAGGAACTCTGAAGAAACTAATTTGCCTGCTTTGGAGTTAAATCAACAAATTTACAAGTAGAAGAGCTCATATGACAATAAGTTGACTAAAAATCCAACAGCCACGCCTCTTGTTACTAGGAAAAAGTTTAGGCGGATTCACTATTAATTAAAGACTAATTAAAAGTACACAAACTAGCTTTTTGTTCCTTTGATATTTGTGACTCAGAAAGGTGCAGTCTTCACAGAGTTCACAGGCGAGGCGAGGACGTGACATTAATCACACTTCACACAGCGTGGTGATGAGAGCTGACACGCAAGTCTAACATAGGCTATTGATATCACTGTGTTGTTGGCTCGCTCTCTGTTTTCCTCACACTATGTGAATCAGCAACTCCGCAATCAGCAACTCTGCACGGTGAAGAGCTGATAATTAAAAATTATCACGCACACACACACACACACTTCATATATCCCCTGGCTCCGTGCTATGAGAAAGACTGCAAATTAGTCTTGCTCACTCAAACTGTGTGTGTCTGTGTGTGTGGAGAACCCATGAGTGTTCAAATAGGGCTTCTGCTGATAACAGTCAAGATACTGTTATGATCATCTACAGTATGATGATTAATGCTTTCTCTCCATCTCTCTCTGCAGGATCAGGATGATAAAGGTAGGTGTTCTCTCCATCAGTGACACCTGCTGGTCAGTATATGTAACATCAGCTCCTTAGCAAACTGGACTGACACTACTGTACCGTTCACCTCCACCCTTATCTTACCTCTAATATCGTCCTTCACCATGGAGGAGGAGGAGGATGTATGGTGAAGGACTGGAAGTTTGAATCCATACAGTTTGAATCCAGCAACCAGAAGCTGTGTTAATATTCGAAGTGGAAACTTATGTGGAACAATACCACAGTTATATCAATTTTTTGGAGGTGAAGTATTTCCACTTTATGTACACAAGGAAAAATAGAATATTTCAAAGCCAAATTGGATGTTTGTCAGATGAAACCTCTGGACTTTGTTGTGTCTTTCCTAATGTAATAAAGTAGACATTTTAAAGGAAGCAGTTAATTAATTTGTCTTTTGGAGGCTGTAATGATCAGGTGTCCACATCTTTCTGACTGTGTCCTGTAGGTTTTGTAGGTATTGTATGATGCATGCTGGCTGGGATAGACTGGGATAAGCGAATATAGAAAATGGATGGGATGATACTGCATGGCTGATGGTTTCTGTTATAAATATGAATGTTTGTCATTGGTCGAGCGACATAGAAAGGATGTAAGTCTGTGTATGTTTGTCTGTTTTTATGTGTTTGTATGTGTGTGTGTGTTGCTGACTCTGACCTGTCTTGTCCTTCCAGAGCTGGTAACCTCTGGCACCAGCGATAGTGAAAGTTGTTCCTGTAAGTCTAGACCCTCCTCTATCTTTTTCTTTCTCTCTCTCTCTCTCTCTCTCTCTCTCTCTCTCCCTTCTTTGCTTGTTCTTATTCAGTTTGTATTTTATTTTCAAACCTCAGCCACTCTATGTTGCTGCTGGTTTGTCTGTGTGTTTCTCTGTGTGTGCTTGTAGGTGTGTCATGCATATATGCACATGTCTATTTCTTTGTTGTTATTATTGTGTTCTTATGTGCATGTGAGTGTTTGTGCGTGTGTGTTTGTCTTTGTGTGTGTGTGCGTGTGTGTGTGTGTGTGTGTGCAAGATACCTTTATCTGCTTCTCTGGCTTTTCCAGAGCTGTTGAAGAAGTTTAGTCCAGAAGTAGAAAAGGGTTAGAGTGTGTTTTGTTGTCAATAATCCCATCCATTGCGCATATAAATGTGTCCATCATTTCTGTTTGTCCAATCAGCTGGCCAGGAGGAGACCCTCCTCACATACCAACCTGTCATGCAGCAGGAAGGTTAGTGCTCAACTTCCTTTTATTTATTTTATCAAGGTTCATTTGTTTTCTTTTTTTATTATTCAGTCTTGGGAAGTTTGATTACTGAAGTCAGTCAACAGCATATACACAAAATACCTCTTTTTCATCTATAAAGTAAAACTCTTCAGTTAATTTGTGCAAATGTACCTTCAGTTTTTATACAGAAAACTAACCAATTTAGAAGTTAAAGCATGGATACAGTGTGAAACTTACTGCTTCTTTAACAACAGCCCACTGAACTGGTGGTGGAGCTTTATCTCAAATCCAAGTTGATATCCCATCATTTCCAAAGAGAATCAAGATGATACAAAATATATAAAATAATCTCAGACTGTAGACTGTGGGATTATTTTTCACAACCTTGAACCTGCATTATTTGATGTTTTGGCCACTTGGGGGCAACAGAAACCAGCTCTAAACACAACACTGACATATTATCACCGTATACAATTTTTAAGGGTAACATGTAAGCAACCACATGTCAGTTTCATCATCTGGAAGACATGAAGCAATATTAACATTTATTTAAAGTTGTGTTTCTCTCCACCTGATTAATTTTTTGAATATTAACTCCTTATAGTTTGATTTTCTTTTATTTTGGGTCATTCGACTTTTGGTTAATATATACAAAAATACAAGGAGAAATGTTAAAGGGTTAATTAGTTTATTATTATTTATTATTAGTAGATTTTCACATTTTTAGCATTGCTTAACTCAACTTACTGTGTGTCTTTGTGTGTGTATATCAACCTGGTTCTCTTTGTCATATCCCAGTTAATTACACACGGCCAGTCATCGTACTCGGACCAATGAAAGATCGGGTCAACGATGATCTCATCTCCGAGTTCCCTGACAAGTTTGGCTCCTGCGTCCCACGTGAGTGTCTTAACTTTGTGATGAACCTCAGCAGCGACCCCTAAAATAATACTAAAGTTTGCATTGACACATTACGAAAACTAAAATATCTCACAGGAGGTTGATGTTTAGCTTCTTTTAGCTTTTCAGCTAAGCACCAACCAATTAAACAGAGATAAAAAGCTTCTGTACTTTTATCCTTTAAATAAGATGTACTTGGATATAGAGTAAGACATAAAGATAATTTTTTTAAATTAAAGTTTTTCATAGGGTGAAGTGAAAACCTTCACGCATTATAAAACAGCACCTGAAAAATTAGTAATGCAATAAAAATGAATATGTGTAAAAATCTATGATCCTCAGATACAACGCGGCCGCGACGAGACTACGAGGTGGACGGCAGAGATTATCACTTCATGTCCTCCAGAGAGCTCATGGAGCAAGAGATCCAGGAACACAAGTTCATAGAGGCTGGACAGTATAACAACCATCTGTATGGAACCAGCATACAGTCTGTCAAAGAAGTCGCTGACAAGGTAAGTTCAGAGAGAGAGAATGAGACTATAAGGATGAATACAAGGAGACAGGAAGCAGAAACAACTCTCTGTCTCTCTCCCAGGGTAAACACTGTATACTGGATGTATCAGGGAACGCGATAAAGCGTCTCCACATGGCAGGCCTACATCCCATCGCTATCTTCATTAGACCACGCAATGTCGACAACATCCTGTAAGTAAATATTAATACCACCATCATAACATATAAATCTCTTCCTAAAACTTTTCTTTTTGTGCAAGCATTTGAGAATATCTGATCTATTTATATATTGATTATATTTATTCTTATTTATTTGTTCTAATTCACTCCATAGTTTTATTACCTCATGTTCCTTATTATGATTTTATCTGCCTTGCTTTATTTTTATTTTTTTCCTTTGTACAGCGCTCTGTAATAGTGTTAAGAAAAATGCTATTTAAATAAGTTTTATTATTATTATTATTATTACAACATTGTGTATTTGAGCTAAACAATCCCAGTGTTTTTTTTCCTGCTTCCCGTTATGTACCTATCAAATTCTCTTATTAGCTTCAATATATAATACAAGAATAGTTGGAGTCAAGAGTTATAATAATACTAATAATTATAATAACTCTATTTATATTAGGGCTGCAGGATTATGGCCAAAATTATCACATTATTTTTGATCAATATTTCACACTATCACACAATAAAAGTATCCAGGCTGCAGCTGCAGGGTGTGCGTGCAGCGACTGGACAGCTTCCCAACAGTGAAACCGTAACATCTCGATCCCCTGTGGTGGCTGGTTGTTAGTTTAAGAAGTCTGATTTGATATGCAGTGGAGTTTTTATGAATCAAGCACGCATTTTAAACGTCAGCGTCGTAGACGATCACATTCATTTAATTTTGGTAAGCCAAAATCGTGATCGCGATTAATATTCGATTAATTGTGCAGCCATAATTTATGTAGCACCTTTAAAAACAGAGTTTATAAAGTGCTTTGACAAACAAAAACAGGATACTCAGAAGACAGTATAGCCCGGCACTAAGGCCAGTCAAAGGCAAGACAGAAATAAAGAACTAGAAGATAAAAACATGGTAGAGGGAAGACAATGATGATGAACGATAAAGACCAATGTGTCGGTGCAGTACCAGTGTAATAAAAGTTAATTATCATCATGTCATTTTACCACTTTCCAGAGAGGTTGCTGAGGGTTTAGTTTCATGTAAATGAGGTTTTACATTCTTGTTCTGTACCTTGATATATTGAATCTTGTCTGCTTCTGCAGAGAGATGAACAAGCGTTTCACCGAGGAGCAGGCGAGGAAGACCTTCGACCGAGCTGTCAAACTGGAGCACGAGTTCACTGAGTACTTTACCGGTTAGTTACTGGCACAGAGACACATATAAACACGAGCTGTTGTTCCCTTCCGCACTCATTAATGATTTGTGAATTTTCTGTGACGACTTCACATGGGAACAGGAGTCACAGTCAGTTTTCCATGATAGACAGTCTGGGAATTTAACAGCTCAGGACAAAGAAAGAGTTAGAGAGAATAGGTGAACAAGTCGACCACAAAAAAAGTGGTACATTACATCCTCACACGCAAGACTTTATGTTTGGATTAAACATGGCTGTACTTTATTTTCCAATGTAGTAGGTCATGTGTTAAATCCAAATTAACACACTCATATACACAGACGTTGACCTTTAAAGGTTAATCCTCCTTTAATGGACATTTTAATTATAGTTCCTTTTTGCACACACACTGGTAATATGTTTTAGTAAATGCTCTTTGGTGGAAATCTTTAGGATATTAATCTCTCTCTTTCTGTCTGTCTGTCTGTCTGCAGCTATAGTCCAGGGCTCATCTCTAGAGGAAGTGTATTCGCAGGTGAAGCAGGTCATTGAGGAGCAGTCTGGTCCTTACATCTGGGTGCCCACCAAGGAGCGACTCTGAACAAACACACACATACTACATGATCACACACATCACTCTTTCAACACTTCATACTTCTCTCAATTTTCTATTATCAGCCTGCTTCCTTTCTCTCTCTCTTTCTTACACACACACACCACTACAGTATATACACACACACACACACTTACACAAGCACATACAGTCGGATGAGGGCTGGGACTATCTGGGACTGCTACTTCCTGAAGTGGGAGGAGCTAAAGTCTGTCCAGCAGCCTATTGGTGGATCTTCCTACAGCTTGGTTCCTTAATGTTTAAGGAGGTGGTTCAAATCAAGGCGACATGTACCATTATCTAATTTGATTTCATTATTGTTCTTCTTATTGTTGTTGTCGTTGTTGTTTTCATATTAACGAAGGGTAATGCATTCATGTATGGGTTTGTAATGATAATATTGTCACCAAGAGGCAGACTTTTGCACGCTGTAGCTTTAAAAGCATGTTTTTGGGACAAAATCTTGATCTCCTTCCCTGTCTGTCTGTCTGTCTTTCCTCATGGCACTGCTCCTGTTTAGAGCTTTTCCCTTCCTTGTCTTTTTTCTATCTTTCTCTCATATTCCATCGCTTCCTCCTCTTTTTCCTCTTCAGACTGTCTGCAAACTTTAAATATGAGGTGAAAACTTTTATAATGCGCCCCAGCATTTTGGTATCGAGGGCCAAAATGAAACTATAGTACAATTACTGTTTAGAGATGTAGCAAGAAAATAATCCTAAGCATAAGACACTTGATATTTCTTGTAACAACCAGAAATTCAAAGCTTAAATAGCAAATTTAATTAAATAGCTTTAAAATAGATAAAGTATGGGGTACTCTGGGCCAAAAATAAATTGAGTAAATAGGCCTCATAATTGTTTTAGAGCCCATTTGAAAGCCTGGGCCATATTTGTCAAATTTCTGACAATTATTAAGAACAACCTCAGTAGCCAAAAAAAGAATTGCTTAGGACGCATTTATCAACCGTGTCACTCCTACTTACACCAAACTTTAAGAGCAGCTTTCAAGTGATCACATCATGATTAATGACACTTGCAATTAATGACACAATTGCACCATGATCAACACAAGAAAAAGAACAAGTGGTAAAATCCTATCAAATCTTCTAATAACATACAAATAGCCTGTTTTGAATTCAACATATTGCTTCAGGTATGACCAATATGTTCCTCTAAAACATTTAAATTTGAAGTCTTTGATACATTTTTAAGGCTAGTCTGAGTAAAAGTGAAGGGTTTTTGCTTACAATTTGGTAAATACAGGCCCAGATCCTCAAATTTAAAAAGACTAAGTCCACTCCATTCCATCCCACAAGGGCTTCTTTGCCTCCCCTCCTCCTCGCCCTCTCTGTCTCATGCCTTTATCTCTCTCCTCCTCCCCTTCTCCACATCCACAGTGTGACATTGGTTGAGCACTCCAGCATTAAACTGTGTATCATCTTCTTCATCAACAGTATCATCACGATCATAATCATCAGCATCATCGTTATAGCTTTCCTTCTTACTGTAGTTGCACTAATGAGGGCTGGTTTCTTAAAAGCATCTTAGCGTGACAGAAATGATACCATCCCAGTGTTTCTGGTATTTGGATGTGTGATACACTCACTTTTCTTTCTGCTGTCGGTGGTGACCAAGCTGGTTTGAAAGAGATAAAGACGTCAGGGAACAGTTTTTGGTTTTTGCAGTTTTCTCATTTGCTGTACGTCTTGCTATTGTTGTGTAGTTAAAGACATCAGTCTGTCAGCACTAACTAGTCAACTGCATTAGCTCTTCTGGCAGCAGGTGTCTGCAGTTATAGGTTTGAGCTTTTAGTCCCAGTGTGCATAAATAACACCTGAAACTATAGCACCATTTGTGACCTCTGCACTCCATAGGTTACTCCATGATACGGGCACACGGTGGACAATCAAAGTGTTACATTTTTACCTGTTATTCAGCAATGGGTTGTATCTTCAAGGGTATTTTCATCATCCCATAGATGTCTACAGTCTGCCCAGAAAGATAAAATGTTTAACCATTGTCTAAATCCACCACTGCCGTGGCCTCCACAGTTGACCACAGACTTTAAAACAGTGAATTTCCATAACAATATTTTATTCTGAAGCACTGTTTCTAGTTCTATAGGTGCTACAACAGGCAACTTTACAGTACAAGTAGCCTTTTGATGCTGGCTTTGTCTCTCTTTGCACATCTGTTGTCTGCAGCGGTCTTTCCAGAGTCTCTGCTGCTCGTATTGTGGCAGAGACTAAGGAGAAGCTACCTCTCTTAACAACAAGTGAAAACACGTCACAGAATATGTTAAACTTTACTCCCGCTGAACAAAAAAAAAAGAAAATAAATAAAATGCTCACTATGTTGTATGGTGTAAAGCAGAGGCAGGAGTTGAAACCTAGCTTGAAAACAACTTTTCTTCTAGTAATGCAGCTGTTTCACTGTCCTGTTCTTTTTATCAGGCCAATTTACATGTTGTGTTAAATAGTTTTAGTAGCTTTATCGTGCTATGGAGCAATGTTTTATTTATAATGCATGAGCATGAGGGCATCCACGGGCAGCATTATTCACATCTTGCCATTAGTTTCACACTACGCCGCTGAAAAGCAGCTTTGGCAAGAACAGCAGTGAATGTAACTTTTGATTGTTTACAAAGACATCTGTCACAGTCTGTGGAAATAAACCATTTTAATGTTGGTTTAGCTTCGGGCAAACATTTTATAGTCGACATCTGTGAGATCCCAAAAATATCTTTGGTGACACAACCCTCTGCTGGGGTAGGAGGTAAAAAAATAACGATTTGGCTTGTACCTTAAAGCAACTATAATCAATATTTTTATAATAGTAATGTATCAAATGACAATGTGAAAAAAATGTGACAATGTGAAAGGGGTTGCTCTTAGTGATGAATTTACAGAGAATAATGATCAGAATGTGCAGCTCCCCTCAGAGCTTCACAGCGAGTTTCAGTTCATTGTTTATCTGTCTGGCTGCAGTTTTACTGTTCTGGTTCACTCTCACTGCTCTCATAGCATCATTACAGTAAAAAAAAGCTCTAAAAACCCACTGTACATGACCTGCTTAGCTGCAAACGGCAGACAGACACAGTTAGAGACTCCCTGGTGAACATACTTGAGCGTTTAGCAGCTAAAGAGCCAGATATTTCCCTCAGGAGATGGAGACCAAAAACAGAGCTATTAAAGAGAGTGAAGTCCCAAATGGGGCTAACCTGAAACATGACAATAATCTCTGTTGTCAAGCAGAACACTTGAAATACCAAGATGCTTTTGGTAACACAGCCCCTATATGGACCTTGTCAGCCATCCACTTCCCATCTCCACCTTCAACCCCCGAGGCGACTCCTCCATGCTGACTGGAGACCAGAGACGTGCAGAATGGCCGTTCTGTCAACAGAGTAGCTCTTAAACCCCAAATAATAAGTAGTTTTGACCACATGTGTTTTGAAAGCTTTAATATTTCCTCACAGAATGTTCAGATAAATTATTACTTTCCGTCTGTAATCCTCTATGAATCCAGTGAACCCGTGGTGTCGTCAGTTGACAGAACTGGACTCTCTGTAAGACTCTGGCTGTGTATTTTAGCTAGGGGACCATGCCACTGTCTGTTAGAGTAAAGCACCGATGCAAAGAATCTATTACAGAGATGGATCTATATCTAACATATTATAATATTTATCCCTGCTCTAACTGCCTATTTTGGTACAAAAAAAAATAAAAGTCTTTATTGAGATTTACTGAAATCCCTTGACTGATGACCGGAGATGATTATTCTTTTTTTGTGTTGTGCAATGTGTATGAATGTGAATATGATATAATAACATGTAAATATGAATATTATTTACTTTACTGCAGGTTTTTCTCTATTGATCTGTCTAATGTGCTTTTTCAGAGACACACAGCTTGTTGTCTGGGATGGTGAAGCATCTGCTGACTCTTTAATGATTAAAAAGATTCCACTTTATGAACCAAAATAAAGACATAATCAGAAAACACAATCATAGTTCTTAACGACAGCGGTTACAAATACAGAAGCACAAGTGAAGTCAACCACATTTCATTTGAAGGATGAACAACAGTCAACAACAACAACAACAACAGCCCTAGTGACTCTGAGGCTGTGAGCTAAATGCTTATCATATATCAATATGTTCACAATGTGAGATTTTAAATGTAAAGTTGATTTAAATGCAATGAATACACATTTTAACAAGATTATGGGTCTATGTGCTAAACCAGCTTACAATGCTAACAAGTTTAAAAGAATAAAAATAAATGATCAGCTTCTATTTACCAGGTTATGTTATATTATAATTTAACCAAATTAAACTTTTTAGCATGCTGTAATTGCTAATTAGCACTAAACACAAAGTACAGCTGAGGCTGATGGGAGTGTAATTAGTTTGTCAGGTATTTTCAAAGTTATTGCAATTTATCCTGAATGTTAGGTGTCAAGTTTAATGGCAATCCATCCATTAGTAATCATTTTACAGAAAACCACAAATATCAAAATCATGGAGGTGCGATGGAGATCACCACAGTTATAAGGACTCATCCTTTGAGGGCCTTGAATGACACTACCACATTTTATAGATATTTACATCTGGACTAAAGTAGTGGATACACTCAGTGATGTTTCCATACATAGAGTGTTATTTGCTCCATGGCTAAAACACCAAATCAAGAACCAAAATGAAGCATAAAGACTACAATCATCATTACAAAACTAAAAACTCTGAACAACTGAAGCTTCAAATACAATGGAACTACAATCATAGTAAAGTGTAAAGAAATCATTGAAGTTTAGTTTTAATTCTAAGAATGATCTGCCAGTTTGATGTTTGAATATATTTTATGAAACTTCTCAGCCACTAAATAGAGGTCAGCAACATTTCCGAAAGTACACCTGTATACGTTTCCCAAACAGAGATTACAGACAGCTGACTAAAGTAAGTAATAGCAAATTAAAAGCATATTTACACTGAGGATTACCTTCATTACCAGTGTCTTATAAAGCAAGTCTGTGAAAACCTGTTAGCAGCACCTAGAGGGTGCTGTGTTCCTTATATACTACAGTATGTCTTTTCCTGCATAAACGAGTCATCAGTGTGAACAAGTGTCATATTTCACACACAGTAACACACTCATCTCCCTGTTTTACAGACTTAGTTTTTCTCTTCCACACAAACAGCATCTTTCTGTTTCACACACTCTCTCACAGTCACTGTGTGCTGCAGCAGGTTGTTGGTCAGTTTATGTAAGGTCACGCCTGGCTGTAGTTACATAAAATAAATTCCTTATGAACTAAATGCTAGTAGAAGTAGTTTTTTTGTTTTCAACTTTAAAGTTATTAACCTTTTCTTAGTTCTGACCAAAAAATACCAGCTGCAGTCATTCAGGTTATTCCTGGAAAGAAGTCGAAGACCAAGTGTACAAAGTGAAAACTTTCTCTATTTTCTTCTAATTAGTACCAAATTAAATGGTTATTTCAAGGAAACTTTGTCAAAACGTAGGAAATTATTCAGAAATGAAAGATCCATAAATGTAAATGAATGCAAAAGTTATTCCAGCCTTACAAATTAAATATGGTAAAAAAAAGGAAGTATGAAATTGATGAACTGATTTCAAGATTTTTTTGTTTCTTGAGCTTTACATTTTTAATTCTCCAGAATCTGAATCTCTGAGGTCAGTTCTCCAATAAATAAATCCAGTCATCTTCACTGATCCTGCTTTCAGCTTCTGTCTCACCTCATTTGAATATCTCATGTCCAAAGTTCCCAGTGTCGATGTCCTTGAGTTCATCCGGTCCTCCGGTTCAAGTAGCCATAATCTGATAAATATCCTGCAGTAAACGACAGGACATAATAAATTACAGCTCATTAAAATTTTGCAAGAAGTCAACCTCAGGATGTGAAGAGAACAAAACACCTATTGTTATATGATCTGTAAAGATCTTATAAAATGTCTTTATATGTATCTGGGTTGTACACAGAGCCTGCTGTACGTGACAATAAGAACAGCTCAGTGGGGTTGACAGACGATCCCACAGTGATTTTTTTCCATTGTGAAAAGTGAGGCACAGCAAGATCTATGTTTATTATTTTATAGAAAGTCAGAAGGTCTGCTGACTGCTTCTGTAAATGAAAATAGCAGCATCCTGACACATCAGTCTGGCTGTCACCTCCATGTCATCCTCACCCCGTCACATTGTGTCTCGTGAATGTTGCAGCAGCATAAACGTAAAGTCGATTTCTGCAGGCAAATGTGCTGCCTTACAACTGCTGTTACATTCTCTACATTCCACACTGTGTCATGTTGTAAAATTGCATTGTATGTTTGATTTAGTGCCTGTTTAATTAGATATTTGTTGACATGGCTGCCCTCTTCATTCATTATACAACATTCTTAAAGCTTTATTATTCTTATCACCCATGCTTGTCTTGTACCAGGGGACCATGAACACGGAGGAACAGCAAGTGATCTTTTATGATAGGCTCTCTTCCTGTGTTTCACCAGATGTCTGCAGAAATCTTTTACCATCATAATCATGCATCCTCATATCCTGCAGCAGTGGGCAACTGCATTGTCTAATGAAACAAAAATAGAGGAATTAAAATTCAGTGGCAAAATGCCCTTAAGCTACTTTGTCTCTATTAATACCCATTTTGTTTGACTGAAATTGATTTGATATGAAACAGCTACTTTATGCTACAACACTGTGAGGCTAAATTATTCTGAGTCATACATTTAGTTTTGATCTATTACAAGACTACTCATGAGCCAGGAAGAAAAGTACATTTTGGGGATTTATTGAGAGTCAGTAAGTTAGTGATGCATATCTAAAAAAACATGCTACAAGAAATATGAGACCCTTTTGGCAAAAAAGAACTATATAGAAATGTCTGACTAATTAGAAAGTATTCAGATCTTTTACTGAAATAAAAG